GGTAATCCGTTTGTCAATGCCAGTAATGACCTGATTCATGGTTGCTGTAACTGTTATAAGGTAATTCCCCTAGATATCGAATACTTTATTTAGATTTATTCTACTAACTTGGAAGTCCACTGCAACTTTGTAGATTCAAAAAACGGTATACAGAAGATATTATTTACTGCAAGAAACAAGCGGATGAACACAGCGGAGACAAGTCGAAAAGCATGTATTTCTTGGACACATCTACAGGACGAAAACACGAACGTTTAACCGGTTCGTTGCGACAAACAAAAGATAAGGATGAACAGGAATGCGAAATTATCTGCCTCGAAGCATGTGATGTGTTCACACTGGCTTATCATCAAGGGCACCGAATGCTGACTGAAAAAATACAAGGAGATGAGCGGTAGAAACTTTGGCTGCTTCCAAACCTTGCAACTCGTTAAGATTCGAAAGGCGGAAATGTCAGAAGCCTTCACTGATGAGTCATTTCTTTTTAAAGAGATAGCAATTACGCGCGTGGTGAAGATGCAGGCAGTCAGGGTAAGCGATCAACTACGACAAGATATATTCAACGCCTCGGGACGTCTGTTTATTACGATCAGACCAGGAGAGTTCGAGTAAATGTCTCGCGGCGAATACGCAGCAAAAATCACACTTAAGAGCTGGCGATGCGTGTAAACCTCATAAGTGAACTTAAAAGCGAATTTAATTATAGGGATGAGAAAACTGAAGAGGAAGGCAGTCCGGCATTATCCTCTGGAAAACAAACTTTTCACAAGCCACACTGCTGATTAACGAAATGGATTTCCGCTGCTAAACAATCTGTTGAAAAAAAACGAAAGTTTATAAAGGAGAGAAATCAACAACGACGATAAGCGGATTGGAAAATACATCATTTTTCGAGTTTAGGTATAACCACTACGCTGATCGTGCTTCTAGAAACACTGGAGGTGCCACTCACTATTTAAGTACCACACATCATCATCAGCCTCTGTCGATCCACCGTTGAATGCTGACCTCTCGAAGACTTCGTCATAGACATCTCTTTTCTGCCATTGTCGTCCATCTTGATCCAGCGAAATCCTTCAGATCATCCTGCTGTCGATCTGAATGTGTTCCCACAGGCCGTTTACTATGTCTTGGAAACCAGTCTAATGTTTCTGGACCGGGGATGATCGATTCTTTTTGCAACGTGTCCTGCCTATTGTCACTTTAACTTCTTCTACGTGGCAATTCCACCATTATTTAATATCTAGACCGCAGTGATGCGAAGCATGTCATTTGCTGTTTGGCTCGCCAGCTAGTAGTTCAAACTACATTTCCGTTCACATGACGATGCAGAGTACCATACAGTCTGGCCTTCTTAAGCAGCACTCGAGCTTTCAGAGGCAAAAACCACAATGCAGTAATACGGGGAAAACTCGGACAACAATGTCTACTGAAATAGCTATGGAAGAAGGTATCGTAAACAACGTCAATGCCTGCGTAAACAATAGTTAATGATCTTCGCTTTCTGACCCATGGTCGAGTGCAATAATTGTAAAGGACATGCAGTCTTTATTTACCGATTCGTTTCGACGCCGCATACCAGTCTCCTCATCAGGATTATAACAGAATACATGAAACAATACGGTGTTATGAAGAAAATGTAAAATTTTCAGTGACAATAACATTTGTTCCATTAATTCTATACACTTCATTTTATTAATGCTCTGTTTTACGTTTGTGGATGACATATTCGTGGTGATTAAACTTAACACTTTCTGTGATTGCGCGCATAAGTGTAAAAATTTAATGACAACCTTTCACAAGTCCGTAAGGACAAACTATACCATGAAAAAAAGACAGAGGTTAAATCAGCTTTCTCGATGTGTTGGTTAAGAACAAAGGGGTTAAAGGCGAAAAACCACCTGATTTTGCAGTTAATCGAAAATCTTAACATTCGAACAGATATTTACGCAGTGTTTCTCACTATCTTGACTTTCAAATATATTGTAAATAACGTTAAACTTAGGTCTCTTGCGATTTACACCACTGATTCTTCCTACTACGCAAAAATTGAACATATACAAAATTTCTTATGTAAAAACGGTTACAATGTGGAAAAAAATAAAAGAAGTTCGCTTAAACTTATTCATATTGTTAAAATAAGTCAAGCAACTTAGAAAAACCTAACTTTAATCATCAACTGAACTGCGACACTGTCTAACAAACCGAAGGGTATGCTAGAAAACTGGTAGCTTTCGATGCCACCGGTAAGAAAATAATGTTTTCCGTTATTACCGGATTTACACATCGTAGACACACCTCACTCTTGCTTCTAGGGGCCTAGGGGACCATTTAAGCAGGCCACGGCTCAATGGTATTTTAGCACTCGCAGTGCATGGATGTAAAACCGCGTCACTGGGCAGGTCCGAACAAAATCCTGTTCAGACACCTACCGATTTGCGACTATCCATAGGTATATATAGATATATATCGCAGATCTACTGAAAACTTCATCAACCGAAAACAATGAAAGAAAGGAAAGTGATTTATAAGATTAATGGCAAAGATGGCGAAAAGATCTACATATGGAAAACCATATTAATTTTAAACAAAGGAATCGTGGCACATCCAGCAGCTCTACGGAATAGGAACTGGCACTGCTTCCTATGTTTCTACATGAGACAATGCATTAATTCGACGAGTCATTTTCACTGACAAGGAGAGAACAAACATCAGACTGTCAACTAACAATCGTTAAGCATGTTGGCCAGCCATAATCAGTGTGTAACGAATGTCCGAGCTCGTTTAGTTTAAATGACAGCAGGAATGTTATTAACCAGCTTGTTCGAAAGAATTGAAGTATGTTACTGTCACTAAATATTTTACTAAACTCTTGAAATGCATGGGTAAATAAAGAATTTCACATCGTCCTTTTCAGATGTTGCCTAAATCCATGGATCAGGAAGCGAAAATCATTAATCGCAAGTAATCATTCGATCCAGCAGTGAATTCACTAGTTATATCGTGTGGTGCCATCACATGGATGAACGCGCATTCAATAGCAAGACCGTAGGGTCTTCAGACCCTACCACGATGACCAGAAGAAAACAAGATAATTTCGACACTTCGTAAATTAACATATCGGCATGTTATGAATTTTTGGGAGAGCTAAACAGACCACAAGGCGGCGGATTCCCTGTTCAAAGGAATCAGAAAGTATCAGCAAAATCGCACTCGCCTAGGATTCAGATATGGCAGTTCAGAAATGTTGTGTCGACAAATAACGCCACCTCTCCCGTTCCAAAAATATAAACTGCTACATATTATTTAAAAAGAGATATCTGATCCATGGAACCGCGGCCTATAATGGACCTTTCAGGCAATCAGGATGCGAAGAGGTTGTGCAATACACTATAAAATCTAGCACTGAAGGAGTGAAACGCGTTATCTGACATACTCATGAGTACGAACACCTAATTATGACCATGTGGTGGCATATCAGGAGTACATCGTCTGTAACGAGAGTACATCGTCTGTAACGAACGCAGGATGACCATAGTCTAAAAAATTATGCGAGATGCATCTGAAACTGCAAGTGCTTATATATTATAGAGTGGAGGCTTAATTAAATAGCCCTGAGAGGCAACTAGAAACAAGTGGCAGTGCAATACGCTGTCAGATTTTGCCCGGGAAGAGCTATGCTTTACCTTACATATCTGATTATTAAATTGGTAACATGCGTTTGTGCACGTGTACAGCAAGCGCAAACTGTGAAATTCGACTAATGACATAAGCAGGAACATCCAACGGCGTACCCACCGTCCTGAATTTCCACAGCCAGCAGACGATCACTGAACAGCAACAGGATCATGGTAAAAAGAAACGAAAAAGCGGCTACGGAAACACACACTGAACACTCGCCGGAATTCTCGCTGCTTCGGAAGTAGTACGCAGTAAGCTCGGTCAACATCTTCCTGAAACAACAAGATATCATAAGGTCGGCTCAGAGCGCCGCACGGCATAAGCAGTCGTACAGACAAAAGAAAAACAGCACCAACATCCATACAGCGCTCACGTTGATTTCTCGGACAGCTCGCTCCGGAAAAATGAACGCATAAGATTCATGAGCCAAAAACACGAAAACGGTCACGCATGCCAGATCGATCAGCCAAAATATGTCGAAGCCCCACGGCAAGCCATTCAGGTCCGTGGCAAGAATGACAGTTGTTTCTAGCTTTACGTCACTGTCATCGTTCAGTTCACTTACAGCGTCAGGAACTGAACTGATCTTCTTCGCTCTAACGATCAAAACTAGATCAGATAAGCAAAATGACAACTAAAATAAGTAATACTGTATTTCTTTGTCTTCGCTGTTATGATGGCAAAGGAACAGTGTACCAAGGTTCCGAAAGTTCCGTGATATATAAACGTCTTCATGTTTTTGGGTCTATCTACCATCTCAAACTTTTCATATAAAATGAGTGATAGTTGAAGAACCCATAAGTATATGACTTGTAACAGCAACCTAAAAAGATTTACGCCAAGTCAGCCAGATGCGTGCGCAATGCATGCTGCTGCTATTCTTTCTATGCTTTAAGTATTTAGAACGAGTATTTATGCTTCCGTACGACGAAATACTGCTCTATAGTGCAGAGGAGAAACGGCCGGAAAAGAGGTAGCTATGGCCCTCCAGTCCTTTGCATGTAGCTACAGTGGGACTACAGAGGACCACAATGTAAGACCGATGGATGACCGACGGACTTCAGTAGTGACAAACTGGTACTTATGAAACTGTAAGCGCCCAACTCGACGACCTCGAATACCAGATGGCACCATGAGCTAAAAGATGGATAAGCAAGCAAGAAACTTGACTGACGAATGTAGGCATCGATACTTAGCAGCGATAATCTACATTAAATACGCGAGGATCAGTAAATTACTGTTGCTGTCAATTCAGAAACAAGATCAACAGCACCTTCTGATGAATGGTTCGTGGCTTGCTATGCATGGCCGTAATGGCATTTTAAGCAAAATCTGCCGAGAAGTGCAACAAAAAATTTAATTAACCGCTTGGTCATTTATTCGCATGTTAATGGTCATTTAGAAAAAAAGAAGGACATTTCTGAAAAAAACATCAGGTACATAAGCGACTCCAGAAACATAGCTGGTGGTGGACAGCTAAAGCATGCTCGTTCCGCAGTGCTTTACTGCACAAAAGAATCAACTGCTGAAAATGACTTCAACGCTAAACCTCAAATTTACCTAAGAAGGGCCATTTAGATATGGACCAAAAGGGCAGTAGCGGTCTACTACTCAGTAGACTGACTATTTGCCGTGGAATGTCATGTACGTCAAACTGCTATTGTCTTTTTCAGTAAAAGCTTT